AACTTGCCATGCTTCAAAAGCATTGCCTAGGACAAACAATGTCAACTCCACGTCAAACGTTCACAGGTGGAATATATAAATATTCATGCACTTTTCACTCTGTTTCCATATTAATTACTTTACATTTTTATCAATTATCAATTATTCAAGGACTAAAAGAGAAAAAGAGCATTCAGTTGGCATGAACTACAATATTTCTGCCTGTCTTTGAGCAGGAAAAAGTGCAAAATCAATGAGGAGATATGAACCTAAATGCATCATAAGTAATGTTTGTAAGATTTCATGAAAATAAATAAAGTAAAACTTTTGAGTAAGCCCTCGTTTATTCCAGTCCTGCTTCATGGTGTCCTCCATTCTCTTTTGCAATCCTTGGTGCAGCAGAAAGGTTAAAGACATGAGGGATCTCAGGCTTCAAAATTTATTCTGAATGTAAACAAAAAATTGGAATCCCACTTGAAAAGCTCAAAAATTTTGGGGACTATATCTGAGATTAATAGCAGTTATTCCATAAGGACAGAAAATGAGCAAACTAGCACTCCTTTCTATTTTGAAAACATCCTCACATTACTACTCCCTCCGTGCCCACATGAGGAGAGTCATGAGCTAGAGCTGTGAGGGTGACGGAATGAGGAGGAGGGCTACAATTACTATCAAATGGCCTTAGTTACATTCATCACTGCACCAACTTACGAAAAATATCAATCAGTTTTTCATTTGAGGCCATTTGAGGCTTTCATAACTCGTTCTTAATTACCAGCCCACTTCACCTTCTTGGTGGTAGGAAGAACAAGTATTGATCTCAGTGCGGTGTCACCCTTTATGAACTGTTTGTGCTTTCATCTAGGAACACATAGCACCTACAGACATGATAGTAGAACGATTGTAGAGCGAAGACGCTGGTCTTAAATAAAGCAATGAACTTTTATTCAGGTTATTTAATGGTATAATTTTGAGCACTCGTATATTGCGGGTTTTCATTCTCTCTAGATTCAACATCTTTGGCTAGACACCAAATACCAACAGCCCGATAAAAGTAATCAGAAGAAATTTTAGACATTCATTTAAATATATGCCTTAGAGAAATGTCAAAAAAGTTTGGCACAAGGTAGTAAATTCAAAATGAGGTTATGTAGATAAGTTTGTGAATGAGACTTATCACGTTTGCGTTCTTACGCGTTTACGCATAGATAGAGGCTCTATGGCACTATATTGACAAATCTATAATTTGCAAAGACGAACTCGAACAAAAATAAAATAACAACAGCACTGTCTTACCTCCGCGAAGTCGAAACAACCACAAGCGACACGAACTCTTTACGCAGCAAACAACACTGTTGCCCGTAGTAGAGTAGTCTCGTGGCAGGGTATGGTATATGCCACTTACGCTGGCGAGAGCAGGGCTAGCAGCAGGGGGTATCGCCGCTCAAGGCTCAGGCGCTGAGGGTAGGCCACCATCTCCACACAGACATTTGGCGGGAAGGCCTATCCGACGCGCCGCAGGCGTTGTCACTCAGAATCGAAAAAAGTTAAAGAGATTAATCTGGCTGAGTTATTTTTATTGCCAAATTTGAGCATATGGCAGACAAAAGATAGTTCCCGCAGTGCGCGTTTCGAGTTAAGTTCACTGATTTTGAGCGATTCGACGTTAATGACCTAGAGTAACACCCTTTTTTAATTTTTTTT